CATTTTCTTTTCGATTTTATGAATCTGTTGTGCATATTTGTTTGTAAGAGCATTAATTTTGTTAAGAAAGGTGAAATAGGGAAAAACCTGGGCGTAAATTAATATTTGGATAATTTTCTATGGCGGCACTCTCCAGAATTTTCCTTCTGAGTGAGTTATTTTCTTTTTTTTTATGAGTGTAGCATTTTTAAAATCAAAATTATGGTTGTATTTATTTCTATGTATGACTATTGCATTAGCTAAGTTGTTTTTTTTGAGGTTTCTTTTTTGTGCTCATAAATGCGTTTTTTTCAAACTTCTACTTGTTTCTCCAATATATTGGGAGGAGCAGTTTTGGCAATTTATTTTATAAATGCCTGCTTCAGAAATATTAGTGCTATTATTGTTTGAAGATCTTAGTATATCTATAATGGTTTTGGAGGTGTTTGTGACTATTTCAAGATTATTTAGATGGGATAGGTTATTCTGGATCGTGGACGTGGCAGAATTGGTCGGTAGTATTATGTATCTGTTTTCATGTGATTTACTATTGCGGATTGTGTTATTAGTTTTGTTTCGTTTGTATATTTTGTATGTCTTTCTTCTTGCATTGTGGATGAAATGATATGGGTATTGTAGGTTTTTGAATGTGTTTTCTATGTATGTTTCTTCTTTAAATAAATATTGAGGACTACAGATTCTTAATGCTCTTAGATAGAAACCTATAATAATTCCAGATTTAATTTTTGAAGGGTGGTTTGAGTAGAAGCTGATGAGATCATTTTTGTTTGTCGCCTTTCTGTAAACGTCAAAATTGAGTTCGTTGTTATTTCTAATTAATAAAATGTCCAGGAACGGAAGAGTGTAGTTGGTTTCAGTTTCGAGAGTGAAGTTTATTGTAGGTTCAATGTTGTTAAGTTTGGAGAGAGGATCCGTTAAATTGGTGTTTTTTGGAATTATTAATAACGAGTCGTCTATGTATCTGAAATATGAAGAGTTTGTAGGGAGAATATTTTTTGAATGAGTCACTTTCTAGAAATTCTAAAATAGACATGCAAGAACGCCGCTGAGAGGAGATCCCATTGGCAAACCAAATTTCTGTCTGTAATGTTGGTTATTAAAAGTAAAGAAGCATAGCTTAGTAATTAGTTGGCACAGTTTTTTAATTTTGTGTGTAGATATAGGTAATTGGATTTTTGCATTTGTTAGGTGTTTTTAAGTAAATTTAAGCATTTATCTATGGGGACGTTTGTATAAAGAGATTGTATATCTAAACTAGTCATATATTTGTTTTCAATGTCTATGTTTTTTAGCTTGTTTAAGAGGTCGCCTGAATTTTTTATGTGATGGACTAATAGTGCCGAGAAGTGGAGTTAAAATTCTGCTTAGTTTGCGGGCTATTTTATGTGAAATCCATGATATGATAGGCCTCATTGGTATGTTCGGTTTATGCGTTTTGGTAATCCATATAATATGGGTGTTTTGGGATGGTATTCAGTAAGCTTTAACCAGGAGAAGTTTTCATTTTTTAGTAGTTTTTAATGTTGCTTGTAAACTTTTTGTGTTTTTTTATAGCTATGTTTTCATTTACTTTTCATAGATGTTATCATCATTAATGAGCTCCTCATCTTCTGTTGGTAAATGTGTTTATCCATAATTACAATTCCCCGCCCTTATCAGAAGTAGATATATGTATGTTTTTGTTGTTAGCTAATTCGTGATATCATATTTTTGAAAAATTCAATAAAGAAATTAGCTTTTTCTTCTTCTAATTTCAAGAATTCATGGGTATAGGGAGGGAATATATGGTGCGACGATTTGATGAGCTTGTGTGAGCATTGAGGAATAACTTTTTCCTCAACGCAATTTCTAAGAAAGTTTTTCTTGTTTTTATAGGAATTGGCGGATATTAGAAGAAGAAGAAGCTATTCTTTACCATAAGGCATATATGATGGGAAGTCACTTACAAAAACACGAACGGAATGAAATAAAAAGATCAGTCAGATATAATAATAAGAAGAAAGTCCGTGTTTTACAGAACAAACTCAGCAAACACATTTATAATAGCAAATGGTCCAACATCAGCAGAAAAGACCTAATAACAAATTTATCCAAATTCCAACTATCGGATACACAGCTAGAAGCACTCAGCTTTGGTCAGAAATTTGCCACTGGATTACCGAAATATGATATCACGGATTACATAATCAAAAATCATCACCACAATGACTCCGATTTTACCAAAGGCTATATTCAGGGCCTAATCACAGCTACACACAAATCACGAATGACACCAAGACTTCCTCGAAGATACATCAACGCCTTGAAAGAATTAGCTAACAACAAAAACATACATATATCTACTTCTGATAAGGGCGGGGGAATTGTAATTATGGATAAACACATTTACCAACAGAAGATGAGGGAGCTCATTAATGATGATAACATCTATGAAAAAGTAAATGAAAACATAGCTATAAAAGAAACACAAAAGTTTACAAGCAACATTAAAAAACTACTAAAAAATGAAAACTTCTCCTGGTTAAAGCTTACTGAATACCATCCCAAAACACCCATATTATATGGATTACCAAAAACGCATAAACCGAACATACCAATGAGGCCTATCATATCATGGATAGGCAGCGCTCCACATAAAATAGCCCGCAAACTAAGCAGAATTTTAACTCCACTTCTCGGCACTATTAGTCCATCACACATAAAAAATTCAGGCGACCTCTTAAACAAGCTAAAAAACATAGACATTGAAAACAAATATATGACTAGTTTAGATATACAATCTCTTTATACAAACGTCCCCATAGATAAATGCTTAAATTTACTTAAAAAACACCTAACAAATGCAAAAATCCAATTACCTATATCTACACACAAAATTAAAAAACTGTGCCAACTAATTACTAAGCTATGCTTCTTTACTTTTAATAACCAACATTACAGACAGAAATTTGGTTTGCCAATGGGATCTCCTCTCAGCGGCGTTCTTGCATGTCTATTTTAGAATTTCTAGAAAGTGACTCATTCAAAAAATATTCTCCCTACAAACTCTTCATATTTCAGATACATAGACGACTCGTTATTAATAATTCCAAAAAACACCAATTTAACGGATCTTCTCTCCAAACTTAACAACATTGAACCTACAATAAACTTCACTCTCGAAACTGAAACCAACTACACTCTTCCGTTCCTGGACATTTTATTAATTAGAAATAACAACGAACTCAATTTTGACGTTTACAGAAAGGCTACAAACAAAAAATGATCTCATCAGCTTCTACTCAAACCACCCTTCAAAAATTAAATCTGGAATTATTATAGGTTTCTATCTAAGAGCATTAAGAATCTGTAGTCCTCAATATTTATTTAAAGAAGAAACATACATAGAAAAACACACATTCAAAACCTACAATACCCATATCATTTCATCCACAATGCAAGAAGAAAGGCATACAAAATATACAAACGAAACAAAACTAATAACACAATCCGCAATAGTAAATCACATGAAAACAGATACATAATACTACCGACCAATTCTGCCACGTCCACGATCCAGAATAACCTATCCCATCTAAATAATCTTGAAATAGTCACAAACACCTCCAAAACCATTATAGATATACTAAGATCTTCAAACAATAATAGCACTAATATTTTCTGAAGCAGGCATTTATAAAATAAATTGCCAAAACTGCTCCTCCCAATATATTGGAGAAACAAGTAGAAGTTTGAAAAAACGCATTTATGAGCACAAAAGAAACCTCACAAAAACAACTTAGCTAATGCAATAGTCATACATAGAAATAAATACAACCATAATTTTGATTTTAAAAATGCTACACTCATAAAAAAAAAAATAACTCACTCAGAAGGAAAATTCTGGAGAGTGCCCATAGAAAATTATCCAAATATTAATTTACGCCCAGGCTTTTTCCCTATTTCACCTTTCTTAACAAAATTAATGCTCTTACAAACAAATATGCACAACAGATTCATAAAATCGAAAAAAATGGTTGAATACATCAACACAGATATAATGACAATATTCTCCACACGTGACAATCTCTGACGTTATTTTCATTTAAAAATATGAAAATAGCATTTCTCTACATTCCAGTTGCTAGGTACATTCTGTTTTTGTTTTTATTAGTTACGTTGTTCATTTAATTTCATTTTCGTATTTTGCTTTGATAAAGTCCACATTGGACGAAACGCGTCAGCAATTACCAGTTTTCCTATTGTCATTTTTATTCATAAATATATATATATATATATTTTTTTTTTCTTTTTTTTTTTTTTAGACGCTGGGTGTTGTGTTTAAATCGTTAATGTAGTAATACCAGCTTAATTTCTCGTTCAACACTACTGTGGGAACGCGTGGAGTTTCTGTGTATTTTTCGAGTACTCTGTCGCTATTGATATGGTGAGAACGAAATTCGTGAATCTTTCTGTCGCCACTGATGTGGGACTGGCAAGGTATTGCGGTTTTCGACGTGCATGCGTTTCGCGAATATTTTCGTCGACACAGATGTGGGACTGGTAAGGTATTGAGGTTTCGGCGTGAGTGCATTTCTCGAATTCTTGTCGCCACTGATGTAGGGCCAAAGTCGAGACCACAGAAGGTAAACACAGAACACGGATTAGATGTAAGAAAGATATATTAACAGGTTACAAAGATAGTGTAAGCGGAGCTTACTATATGTTAAGTGTCCAATACTGGTAGCTCTCACTGTCTCTCTCTATGTCACTCTGTGTCTCTCTCTAGAGTGTTGTGTCGCATATAGACCTGGAAGAGTCTATTGTGTAGGTAGTTCCGGTCTCACAATAAATACCCAAGTAATCATTGGTCTAATTTCTCTGCTTTTCACTGTGATGGCATTTAATTTTATTTTGGGTTTTGGCTGCCAATAAGCAGCCAAAACCCAAAATCTTTTGTTTTAATTTTTTATCATTATGTTGGAAAATATTAATAATTGCTTAATTTTTTTTTCAAACAGGGATCTCTCAGACATCAGCATTCTTCAAGGCTATATTCACCTTCGTTATGTGGACATCAGTAACAACAGAGTCACTGATCTTGAGTCACTGAACAATCTTACACATTTACTGAGTTTGAAAGCAGACTACAACCAACTAGAGAAAATTGCTCTTCGACCATTTCCATTTCTTCAGCATGCTTCCTTCAGTTTTAATAAAATAATGCATACATCAGGATTGCAACATCCACTTCTGGAGCACCTGAACCTGAACAGTAAGTTAATTTGAAAAACAAAAGCAGTCCTCTAGTTTGATAGTTGGGAGGTTTATTGCCCAAATACACAAATTGGTAAATGAAAATTAAATTTGCCTGATCATTTGAGAATTATTGAGCATAAGGTTCATCTGCTTCTCTTGTTTTCCTTACTGAGAACAGAGTTTTAATCAAGAAAGAACATATTCTTTGGTATTTTTAAGATTAGTTATTTTAAGAATTAGTAAGTTCAAATGGATAAAGGTTTCTTCATTGCTTTTACAAATCATGTATTTTAGAATTTTATCACTGTTTATCATATGATAGCTCTTGGTGATTGAATATTTTATTCTGCTTCTAATCATGAAAAAACTAGTCATGTTTTATGATGCATGATGAATTCTTTTCTAAATTAACTTTTTACTTCATTATTTTTATCATTTTCAACCTTTTTTATCTATAAATACAAGAAAAATGAAACAGAGTTTTTTATCAAGTTTTTTATGCATATTCATTGAAATGAAATAAGCATATACTACTATTATAAAATATTGTTTTGAAAAGAATGTTTGGCTTGTTGCAGAAAATTTTCACTCAATTTATTTAGTAATTCTATAAGGTGATTGCATTGTTGGAAAAATTAAAAATCCTATGCCTAATATGTATATCAATAAAGTAGATCTTGTTGATTTTTTATGTACAAATTTTTGGAGCAGTGGTGATAAACTTTCACATTCATAACCTATTAAGCTAGGACAGGTTTTAAAGTTTGTGTCCATAATGATGCAGGTGATAAAAGAATCAGCAAATTCCTCCTCAAATAATATTGATATTTTGAGGCATACTGTTATAGACAAGCGTATGGTTGCAAGAAAGAAATACGACAACAGCAGAAATAGATTTACGTGATTTATTTCAACAGGAACGTGTTGGTTTGGGACAGCTACCTTGTGGTAAAGTTCATAAGCCGGCTTCGGATCTAGGTCAATCTCTCATAGTAGTTCACACATGTTGACGGTGGATGATGCTCTCCTGCTGACAGCTGATGACCGCGACAGATCTGTTCACTGGCCACCTGTGGACTGCCTGTTGAACTTCCGTGTGACCCCTTTTATAGTGTTTTTTTATGGCTTAACAGGCTCGAAAAATGAAGCGAGTATAATTAGGAGGGAAGCATTTTTATTGGATGAAAAATAGAACACTTTAATTATTATTTTATTTCTCGACCGGAACTCGTGTGTCGAGAACATTTGTAATTGAAGGTAATGGTCATTTTGTGACGGGGTTTTGTCCCGTTCACATCCGGCTCTCGCTCTTGAGTATTTGCCTGTAAATCAGCCGTCTTATTTTATTTTATAACAATACTAATATCTATAAGTAAATCAAGGATAGTCTGGGAGTTGAACTGGAAGTGTCTGTCACCATGACCAGTTACAAAGTCTAAGTTTCATAAAAATAGATCAAAAGAAGCCTAGAAAAATATTTTAAAAAAATCAAAAAGTGTATTTAACCAATCACAGTGACTTTCAAGAGACAGGTCTTGAAAGCCACCTTGCCCTAATAAAAAGTGATGAAAAAAGACATATAGTGCAGAACTGTGCCATTCTGCAAATGAAATTATATAAGATATTTAATTTATGTCAAACAATAATAATCTATTTATCATTTATGAATTAGTAACTTGTTATTTCTACTTGTTAAACATACCTACTCTCATCCTCTTTTGAAATGGAAACTCCTTGTGTGTATTTATTGGTACAAATTAGCAAGACGGTAACACAGATATGGCCTAATTTTCTTGCAGTATTGGAGAAAGATTACATTTTTTTTACCTTGTTTCACAATGACATCCACATAATATGTTTGTAGAGAGAAATCAGAATATAATTATAATCAGAACATTTTTTTAAATTGTTTTCATCTGAATCAAGGCAGTAAAGACATGAAGACACCATGGGTTACTGAGTGTGGAAGAATTAGAAAATAGAAACTCTACTAAGGAGCAATAACAAAAGAAGACTAATCAGAAGGACAGTAGAAAGCAATTGAAATTGCATTTAAATTTTTGAAGATTAAAGTTGTTTGGAAAGGATAGAGCTGGAAGTGAGTTCCACAAGTGAGGAGGGCAAGAAAAGAGACAGTCAGCATGGAACTTACAGTTACATCTAGCCACTTCAACTGTAAATTGGTGAGACCTTGTCACCAGTTGAGTTCTGCACTTTAATTCATATAAAGTTTAGGTACCATAGTGAACAGCTTGTCTGAACAAGTACCATGAAAGTATTTACAGAAAAAGCACAGGGATGCAATTTTAGGGTGGTGGGAAGGTGTCTGAAGCTGAAATGCCAGGTCGGGACCAATAATATTTCTGATTTTTCTTTGGATTTTATCAAGGATCTCTAGATATATAGCGGAAACACCAGACTATATGTGACAGCAATATTCTAAGCATGGATGATTGATAGACTGTAAATATGCAAGAGAGATTCAGAGCAGAAAAATTGTCTAGATTGACACAGTGAACCAACATTCTTAGCAGCTGACCTAGCAATGGATTTAATATATTCTTTCCATTTCATGTCAGCCAAGGATGTTAGCTTGAGAAGGCGCAATGAGTCACTCTCCTGGAGGTTAGTTAGCATCAGCCATGATGATGAAAGGCAGGGAGAGATCTCTTAGATGATTAATAAAAAGCAGTTTAATTTTGCAGGTGTTAAAATTAACAAGCCATCCTTTTCCCTTGGACTATTACAGGGATACCATCAGGTTCACATGCTTTGTGGGGATCCAGATTAGAGATGATAGCAGAAACCATAGAAGGGGGTCATTATGCAATTCCTTCAATAGAGACTCAGTTCTAAGTGGAACCAAAGTTGTTGGATGCAGTATGGTTTCTTATTCTTTCAGCCAGGGCCAGTACTAGGGTCTTGCACCCTGTAAAAGTTTGAGAACAGGGCGTCCTTCTCTACTACATGTCAATTTCAAAGTTTCTCAACCTGAGGCCCACAAACCCTCAAAGGAAAATGGTGGGGAGGGCAGCACATTTTCAAATTACCAAAATTCAGGGAATTATCCAATTTAAATGAAATTTCAGTGCATATTCATTAATTATTTACTTTTATAAAAATTAAAAAAAATCAGAAAAAATATATATATGATAATAGGCTTAAAAATGTACCCTGAAATTTTGAGATGAGCCTAAAAAAAAAAATATAACAACATGCCTTTTAAAAGTATTTTTAATTTGTATCCAAAATCAAACAAGTACATTAAGCTGAAATATATTTGATTTAAAGAAAAAATTATTTGGCAAGTACCCAGAAAATGTTTGATTGATCTCAAAAATATTTTCTAGACAACACAAAGTCATCTTATTTTAAATTAGCAATATTACTCTCATTATTAAATAATTCCATCTACATTATTTAGAATGTTTATTGAAAACAAATTATATTTTGTTTCAAACGTTGATGACATGATATCACATCTGTACTTCTGTGTTATTTTGAAAAAATATTTAATGACAACTGCTAAGCAAAGAAATTTGTTGATAGAAGTTAACAGAACAGGTTTGTTTTTCTCTACAAATGGCAAGCATAAGAATTGCATTAAGAGATTTAAAGAAATAGATATTACAAGCAGTAGCATAAATCTTAACCAGCTTTAAATGAACAGGACATATAATAGCCTCTTTAATCATAGTATATCACATGATTTTAACATAGGCTATGTGTGTTTAGCTAAATAAGCAATGCATGATTATTGGTGGAAACATATTGCCTGTCCTTTTCTCAAAACACTTTTTATATTTTGCTCTTTACTGATTTATTAAATCCTAATGTAAACTTTATGTATTTAATATTTGAGCTGATTATGAGATCAGTTAACTATGAGAAAACATACTAGTAATAAAACTTTGCTTTGTGGTGAATACGAAAAATAATTCTCAATATTTCACTGATGACCTACAACATGTAAGGAAATTAAATACATATCTATTCTTACTGCCTTCAAAATAAGTCAAGATGCAGTTCAGTAGGTTCAACCAAAGAAAGAAAAAAACTGCAGTAGTCAAACAAATTCCAATCTGCTATAAATCTATATCATCTCAACCAGAAACCAAAAATATGCAGGTTGCACATCTACCATGCACACCATGTTAGATTTTGTAAACCATGGTGTATGTGGCCAAAAAAAGGAAAGATTAAATTAGTCATTCTCATGAATCTGCCTGTGATGTGAAAGTGGAAAAACTAGTTGGGCTAGAATTCATCAGGTCCACCACTTTCAAAAGTCAACTGCTTTAACTCTTCAAAGTCTTCTTCTGACAAAAATACTTCAAAGAAACAAAATGAAATCCCTCAATGGGAGTAGAAATTTTTTTCTGCAAATAAGCCCACTGCTTCTCCCACCAATTCAAAAACTTCAAAATCCCAGTCACATACAAGTGTTGCTAATTCATCTAAGACACATTCTAATAGCCGAATGGGCTGATCTGCATCTTTGCAATTATCAAAATATAAGAACTCGAAGTTTGTAACAGACAAGTCTTCATCCAAATCCTACAAAGATATATCCAGCTTTAGAGAACATTCTATCATGAATGGTTTTGTTCCAAACAGAGTTTGGAAATCTCTGGAAGTACAGTATAAAGTAGTTAACCACAATAAGTACTTTAGTATTACAACTGCAGAAGATGTCAGCAGCAATGTTTCCATAGATTAAAAGCAGCCATTGTCTCAGTAATGGTGAAAATGCCTGATATTGGTAAAGTAATACCAGCACAAAGAGATACCTCACCAGAGATCCACAAGACTATGGAGACAAAACAGCAAAGCAAAACAAAAAATAAGTCTGGTAAGGAAGGTTGGTTACTTGGAAAAGCAACAATATATACCACTACTATTGAATTATTGACTTATTCATGTACTAAAACAGACTCTGTCAAATCTGGGAAGGGAAGTTATGTGGTGAATATAAATTAAAAATAACTCTCTTTTCAAATTTGCGAGCTTGTGTGA